CTTGAGTGTACTTGTTTTGGCTGTCTGTCAAGTGACAGACGTTTGGCGCGAAATGGGCGGGATGCCTCGTGCAATGTGACAACTTGTGAGGGTTGTGGTAAAAAGTGTTATGAAGAGGAGAACAATGCGAATCAACCGTCGTCTTCAGGACGTCTGGTCGACATGGTCGAGCCATGGTTTGGACACACGAAACGGGTGTGACAACCAAAATGGGGCCGAGACGAGCGCAAGAGGAACGTGGTTGTCGGTTGCGGCAGGATGGGGTGGCATGAGGGGGAGGGAACAATCTCGTCGGAAACCTGGCCAGGCCAATGGTGGCGACAAGCCAAGCGAAACGCAAGAACGACGTTGCTACTTGGAGGCACAAGGCCGAACGACAAAAAAAGAAAATACAGACAACACAGACGTGAAATTGGCCGGTCGTCAAGACTACTGGGGGAAGTCGAGGTCCCTACGACAAATGAAGTCTTGAGAAAAGGAGATATAAAAATTGAATGTGGATCAAGAGACTGGCGAAAACATACAAGAGACAATCGAGGACAAACAACTTGAAATTGAGAACCAAAAAGTAAGATTTGAGAACGGAGAATTCAAAATCGAGAATAGATAATGTAGGACTAAAGTGAGAGCAAGTAATTAGCAATTATGAAAAAAGAATTGAGAAGTGAGAACTTAGAATTGAAAATCGAAAGTTAGAACTGATAAAGAATTGATAATTGAGTACTGGCAAAGAACTGTCAAGTGAAAACTAAAAATCAAGAACCGAGAACCGAGAATCATGAATTGAAAGCAGAAAGTAAAAAATTTAGATTCGAAAATCGAAGTGAGAAGGAATAATTGCTAATCGAAGGTAATAAAAGCCTTTTGTACGGTCGTAGTCTCCCTTCGTTATATAGAAGTTGTTTTTCCTTTGTTTTCGCAACTTGGTCATATTGGTAGGAATATTTATAGGAACGCACTTAGTACGGAGTCTATTGTATGCATGTTTATTTCCAGCTTAGGACCGCGGTCGTGGTAGATTCCCAGACGTTTCGTCCGCATCGTCAGTGAGACTCGCCATTATTAGCACCACAATAGAACTCGACAAAGAGAAAATGAAACCGATACTTTGACCAATTGTCAGCTAAATTGAGAACAGAAAATCAAGAACAAAGAATTGAGAACTGAAGATCGAGAACTTGGGTTGGGAATGAAAAATGGTTAGTTGAGAAATGAGAACTAAAAATGGAGAATTGAGAATCAGAACCAAAAATATAAAAATGAAAATCAATAAGTCAGAACCGAGCAAGAAGAATCAAAAAAGGTGAATTGAGGACCGAGTAGGCGAGATGATGCGTGTGCAAGAGCGATGGGGTTATAGCAAAGAAGAAAGGCGTTTTTTATGTTTGGAGCGAGGGGGGATGTCAGGGTCGAGTGGCCGAGGAGACGCATGCAGCGAGGCGAGAGGTTGAGGAGGTGGGGATAAGGACTCACTTGACACGGTCTGCGATGTGGCCGTACAGCTCGGGCCGCCAAGCCGGCATGTGCGTGACGATAATGTTGGTGTCCGAGGGGATGCGCTGCCATCGTAGAGCCACGGCCTTGACGGTGGGCAGTACGAATCCGTCGGCGCCTTTCGGCCATCCGTCGCCAGAGGGGCCGGCCTCGTCGGCTCCAGATGCCGAGGGGGATGGAGGTGGGGAGGCGGAGCGTGACGACTGTTGGCGCGTCCGACCGGAGAAGCAGGAGAGGCTGGGACTGGCCGAGTTGAGTGCCGTGGCGAGTCGAGCGTAGACGCGGCCGACGCCGTCCTCGGGCCGCAAGTCGTCGGCGGCCGTCCACGGAGTGCCGTAGATTTTGAGGCCGAACACACGGCACCAGTCGTCCTCGAGGTAGACGGCTGAGGGCAGGAGGCGTTGGATGTCGGCCCGCGACGGCCGCCGCTCGCCCAGCCCGGCGTCCCAGCAGCCGGGCACGAACACCTTCATCGGGTGCGACTGGCGCGCGAAGAACGCGTCGATCGATTTGATCCGCTCACGCCAGTCTGGCCAATCGGCGTCGACCTCGGCCTGCACGTCTGCGTGTACTTTTGTGTCGGCGCATCGATCGGGCGAGTGGCCGCGGCGGACGCGGCAGCGGCCGCGTCTCTTCCGTGCCGAACAGGCTGCAGCAGCGGCTGCGGCGGCGGCTGCAGCAGCGACGACTAATGCGCTCCTGAGACGGGCCGGTGGGGCCGAGGCAAAGTCGCCCGAGTAGATGAGAATGTGTCCGCGCGGCAGATTGGCGGCGTAGGCCTCGTGGGCGCCGCGAGTGTCCGAGAGGTGGACGACGCGGACGACCGACGCCTTCGGGTGGCCCACGGCGCCCACCACGTACACATTGAGGTTGGGGCAGGCGAAGACAGGCGGCGTCGCCTGTGGTCGCAGGTAGGGCCCGGCCGAAGAGGTCGCG